CTTTCAAAACAAGGAATAAGTAGTGAACAATTATATCTTTGGTCAGCACCGATTGATCTTATTGAAAAATATCAGTTCTATTTAAATCAATTATTAACATTAAATGATTTATCGCTGGGAAAAAAAATCTTTCATAATTGTACATTACCACGATTTGGTTCTCACTGTCAATATGAATTCGATTATTATGATCATTCTAACCATTCATCACTATCTGAAATTATCAATGAATACTATACAACTAATGAATATGATCCAACCAGTTTAACCTGTTATAAACATTTACAATGCTACCGTGGTTCAGAATCAGCATGTTTAGATTGGAGTGACATATGTGATGGAAAAATTGATTGTTTTGATCATGGACAAGATGAGGAACATTGTTGGCAACTTGAAATAAATGAATGCAAGGATAATGAACATCGGTGTGATAATGGACAGTGCATTCCTGACACCTTTTATCAAGATGGTAAAATAATTTTTGATTGTATTGATCGTTCAGACGAAACTCTAGTTGATCCACAGGTAGCAATAAAACATCTGTGCAATAAACGTGAACCAACATCTGAATGCGAAGATAGAGTATGCAAAGGAGGATTTTTAACAAGTTCGTGTGTCACACAACGAAAAGATTTACTTATGAAGGCAATGTTTTCAACGAAACATAACTCTACATCTGAACAATGTTGGTTTGGAATAAAATGTATGTTTGATCGATCATCCTCAAAAGAATCATCTTGTCATGAACTGTATGGAAACGGATCACATCTAAAAACTCTCTTGGATACTTGTCCAGAAATGTTATACGTACCTAATTACCCAATATTATTTGGTGATGTTTACATTGCCGTTGAAAAAAATTACTCAAAACAAACGCTTGATTACAATGGTTTTCATCTTTATCGTTGTTATAAACATCATTCGCATTATGATCCTTTTCTTAATATCACCACGGACACTCTGTTCAATAATACAATATGTTCGAAAGGTGACATCTTCGTGTCTATAGTGTATGGGGTAGGCAGTGCATCAATAGACAAGTATAAAGGATTCATAGACACAATGCATACCAAACTGAAGAAATATCGTTACTCTATTAACTATACGTCAACAATTTGTAACAGACCGAATATGTATCAATGTATGAATTCATCGAAATGTATCTCAGTACGCTACATGTTCGATAGCTATACTGCTTCATGCCCACGCTCAGATGATCGAGATATGGATGCAGTTAAAAAATATCCTAATATAATAGAACAACTAAATAAAACTCATATTTACTGCGAAAGACTTAACAAGTATTTTTCTCAACGTTTCATTAATGATGGTAGATGCGATTGTCAAGATTTCCAGATATCTTCTTGGTGCGCAGATGAAGATTTAGGAGAGGTAGACATTCGCAAGGTCATATTGTTTTCGAATATTTGTGATGGATTTCAAGAGCTATTACCAATAAATGGAAGCGAAACAGATGAAACAGAATGTAAAGAATGGGAATGTGATAATATTTATACTCATTGTGACGGTAATTGGAATTGTCCTAATGGTGCCGATGAAATTGGTTGCGATGAATTATCAAGATCAATGTGT